TATTTCCCAGGGTATTTTAGGGCAGATGTATATTGATAAGTAAATTATTATTGTTGTTGTTATTGTCATTAGTTGCTGTCAGGTCGGCCCTGATTCTTGTTGACCCTATCTGTGTAGAATATAAGGAAGTGTTGCTCAGTCCTTCGCCATATTCGCAGTTGTTGGTCTGTTTGAGTCCGTTATTGTGGCCGTTGTGTAGTGCCTTCTTCCAACCTAGGGACCTCATCTTCCAGTACTGTATCAGACAATATTCTGTTTTGACCCATCGGGTTTTTATTGGCTAATTTTCAGGAGTAGATCACCAGGCCTTTCTTCCTAGTCATCTTAGTCTGGAAGTTCTGATGAAACCTGTTCACCATAGGTGACCCTGCTGGTATTTGAAATATTGGTGGCATGGTTTCCAGCGTCATAGCTACATGCAAGCCACCACAGTATGACAAACTGACAGACGGGTGGTGGAAATTACTAACAGCCGGCTAAGTATCTTGTTCTAAGTTTGTATCACCCTAAAGTGTTTCCTAATATTTCAAGTTTGATTCTCACATTTCATTTAGCAAATGTGTTTGCCTCTTTATTGAATAAAAAGTTTTCTTTTTAGATACCATTTCATCTGCTTTATTGCACTGTGTTTCTGTAGTAGGATTCTTCAGGTTTTTCCTATGGTTTGAAAGTAGCTGTATTATCTGTGCTGTTTGAGCCCTTCTGCCCTCCCCTTTACTCCCCACCCCCAGTTGCTTTCTATTTCCTGAATTCACTTACCTATTCTTACAAAGGTCTGTTTCATGTTGCTCTCTCTTTTCAAGTTTACAGTACGTCTTACCCCCTCCATTGACTTGGTATCTTATCTCATTACAAAAATAGCAGCAGTCAGATGAGAACTATCTTATCTATCACTGTACCTGCCTCTGTACTCAAAAGCTCTGCTAACTCTAATGTTATAGTATATAAACCATTCCTCTTCTAGCTAAGGCCATCCATCCCCTCCACTTGTGCCTGGAATCCCATCCCTTCAAAGTTCTTTGCTCCTGTAATTACGCTTTCTCCTTTCCATCACATTTTCTTGCTCTGTTAGATCCTATTCAGTAGTATAAAAATACGCTGAATATTTCCCAACTTAAAAAGAAGAAAAGTGTGACTGAACATTCAACTTCAGTAATGTCCCTATTCTTTACTGCCAAAAGAGATATCTCTTCTTTTTTCCTGAACCCGTTTCATTTCGGCTTTTATCCCCATCACTCCACTGAAATTACTCTTGTCGAGTTCAGGTAATTTCTTCTCTGTTGCTGATTCCAATCGTCAATGCTCAGGTGCATCCCAGTGCTACTTCTTAGTAGCTTTAACATTTGATCACTTTTTCCTTAATAGAACCTTCTCTTCACTGGGCTTCTAGAACATTAGTTTTTCATTTGTGTTGTGACTTTTTCCTCTCATTGTCCTCTGCTAAAGCTACATCTTTCTTTTAGCTTTTAAACTTTAGAATGCTGTTAAGTTCAGCCCCTAACCTTTATTGTATCTATTGTTTGAACTCTTTAGCTGGTTTCAGCCAGTTCCTTGGCTGATGATGCCCAAATTAATATTCCTATCTGTGACCTTTCCTCTAATCTCCAAACTTGTATGTCCAGCTGTTAAAACAGCATCTGCAGTTGGAAGGCAATTAGACACATCAGAGAGAACATTTCCAAAATATAACCAGTTTGTTGTATATAAAAACTGTTTATTGTATATAAAATTCTGTAGTAAAAGTTGATACTTCTGAAAGGGAGAACGTGAGAAACATAAAGAGTATTAGTTATTCTGTATGATAATATGTTGCATTGTTTTAGTTTCTTTCAAAAAATTGTCATGTATTTTTGTTTATTTGAAACAGCTCTTTTATTTATGATTTTAAAGGTAATACGAGAATATTGCAAAAATTTAAAAAATACAGAGAAGAAAAATACTCAGCGCTCTATATTTGGGTACTTAGTGATAATCTTTAAACGTTGGTGTAAGATCCACAAACAGACACATAAAAATGCTGAAAGCGAAAGATGAGAAAATCTTGAAAGCAGTGAGAGAAAAATGACTTGTCACTAACAAGAGAACCCCAATAAAATTGTTAGCTAACTTTTCATAAGAAATGGGCTAGAAGGCAGTGGGATAACATACTCAAGAGCTCAAAGAAAAAAACCATCAACCAGGAGTCCTATATCTAGCAAAGCTGTCTTTCAAAAATAAAGGCAGAATAAAGACATTCCCAGATAAACAAAACTGAGACAATTTGTTGCTAGCAAACTCACTTTATAAGAAACAATAATGGAAGTTCTTCATCTGAAAGCAAGTGACCCCAGACACTAATTAGAAGCCACACACACAAAAAAAACAAAGAGCACAGGTCAGGGTAATTATGTAATTATAAAAGGCAGTGTAAGTGTATATTGCTTTTTCTTTTTGTTTTCTCTTAACTGCTTTAAAAATCGATTCATGTATTTAGTTGTGTAAATGAATATCTATATAATTCGTTTTTGGTCCTGTGACATTCAGAAGTTCAATATATGTGCTAATAACAACACAAAAGAGTTGGATGGGAGCGAAGCTGTATTGAGCTATGGAAAGGACTCCATATGGTAACTTAAATCCACAAGAACAAATGAAGAGAGCAGAAATGAAAAGGAGGTTAATTATAACAGTGTATTGTTTGCTTTGTAACATTTATAGATGTAGTATGTGTAACAATAGTACTACAAATAGAGGGAAAAGTGAACAGAGCTGTATAGGAGGAACATTTCTATATCTCACTTGAATTAAGTTAGTATAAATCTGAAGTCGATTCTGATAAATTAAGATGTGTATGGTAAGCCCTTGGAGCCCTTGTGGTTCAGTGGTTAAATGTCTGGCTGCTAACCAAAAGGTCAGCAGTTTGAATCCACCAGCCACTCCTTGGAAACACAATGAGGCAGTTCTCCTCTGTCCTGTAGGGTCACTATGAGTCCGAATCGACTCGATGACATTGGGTATATCAATAATAACATTAAATGTGAATGGATTAAACAATTTAATCAAAAGGCGGAGATTATCAGACTGGATTTAAAAAAAAAAAAAAGATCTATCTATATGTTGTCTACAGGTTCAAAGATACCGATAGACTGAAACTAAAAGAATGAAAATAGATGATCTCATGCAAATAGCAACTGCAAAAGAAAGAAAGAAAAAAACTGGAGTGCCTCTCTTGAGCTGCCATGGTTCTCTTGAGGTTCCATCTTTTGTGTTATTTATTTCCACATTTAAATCATCCTTGCCTCCTATCCTTTACAAGTATTTCTGGGACTGTTTTTTTTTTTTTTTTTTTTAATAGGCTTTGATAGCCAATTTCTGATTTCTTTTTAAGTTAGTTATCCTTGTACTCTATAGAGGAGCCCTGGTGGCACAGTGGTTAAGCGCCCGGCTACTAACCAAAAGGTTGGCAGCTTGAGCCCACCAGCCACTCTGCAGACCTAAGATATGGCAGTCTGCTTCCACAAAGATGGAACTCTGTGGGGCAGTTCTACCCTGTCCTGTAGGGTCTCTGTGAGTCGGAATTGACTCAAAGGCATTAGGTTTTGGGTACTGTGTGTACTCTCTTTAGCTTATCATCTTACAAAATAATGAAGGAAAGAAAAACTTATAAGAACCCGCCTAATGACAATGCTAATGAAATATTTTTCCCTTATTAATTTCATGATATTCAGATGAAGGCATCTTGAGATCACGATAGTTTTTCTTCAATTACACTGTACATGGCTCATTCATATTTACTTCTAGTTTACAAACCCATTAATGTTTTCTCATCTGCTGTGTGAGGTTCTGTTTTTTTTATCTCTGATTTTACTACCTTGTAGTTTTCCTCTTTAAATTTTATTTTGGTATTGATGGACCGTTTCTCTGACTTTTTTCTTAATCTTTTAAAGTTGTATGATTAAATTGAAAAATCCATTGGACGTGCTTCATTCCACTTTGTATGTTATTGAAAATATTAAACAAAATGGGCTTGAGAAACCTAGCTGCTGTTCCATCTTTATTTCTGATTCATGCCATTTTTATGTCATTTGTTTTTTAGTTTCTTTATCCATAAAATAGTAATAACAGTAGCCAGCCACAAAGGGTAGTTGTGAGAATTGTAAATCATTTTGATAAAGATCTGCTATCTCATATGCACCTTTTGATTTTTTTATAGTCTTAGAAAGTTAGTGCTGGATACTACAGCAGATATTTAATATGAAAATAGTGTGCATTATGACCTCAGCTAATTGTTGCCTGGATGTGAAATAAAGTACTTTAATATCAAAAGGGAGTTATAGTGTACAATTATATTATCATTGTTGTTAAGTGCCGTTGAGTTGATTTCAACTCATATCAATCCCATATGCAAGCGTAGAACGGTCCCGTAGGGTTTTCAAAGGGTCGCCATGAGTTGGAATTGACTTGAAGGCTGTTAACAAGGCATTTGCCATATATTAAAATACTAAGTTGTAGTAATCAGTATTTTTAATACCTAAAAATTATTTGAAAAATTAATAAAGAGCACAGAGGATAATGAAACAAGATTCATATTTACCTCTCTCAATTCCCTGATGCATTTGCTACCCTTTCTTTTTTTAAAGGAAGAAGTCATTAAAGTTGAAGTCCCTAATATGTATTCAAAACAATATATATTTTATATATTTTTATAATTCACAAAAATGGTATTACTCTATATACACATCTTATTAAAACTTGCTTTTTCTACTCAATATACATAGATTTTTTATTCTGAATATCTAAAAACTTTGTTTCCTTTTTTAAAAAAATCATACTTATTTTTAAAATTATAAAAAGTATTTAAATGTGTGTTTTTAGAAAAGCTGAAATTAGCTGCATTCTGGGGAAGAAAAAAAAAGGTTCCTGAGATTTCCTTTTAACAATACTTTGGAAACAGATAAAATTACTTCCTGTCTCTCAGTTTCCTGTATCCATGGCAACCTTGTTTTACACACTGACTGTAGAGGAACCAATGGGAAGAGTGGTGTTTCCTGAGCAAACTGTGACTTAAAAAAAATGTGGAGGGGTGGAGGTCAACAGCGCCACAGAAGAAGTGGAGCTTAGAAATGTCGCTCAGCAGATTTAAAAAGAAGTTCTGTACTTAAATCAGCCGAGTGAAAATACTATGACTTTCCTGTTGTTGGTAAGATTGTTTATTTAAATATGAACTTTTAGCTGAAACGAAAAATAATTTGGTTTTGGTAAAAATGGTAATTTAAAGAAAGCTTAATTGTTCTGTAATGAATTTGTATTTTCACGGACTGTAATGTTATTTAATTGATATTTGGCTTTAATCTATGTTGGTAAGGACATATTATATCCAAAGACTTTCATCCCTAATCATCATTTGTCATTTTGTTACAGTCGTAATATTTTAAGCTAACTCAGCATACATTTTATTTTACAGTTCACTAAATTTGAATTACCATTTTGTCAAACATTGAGTTAACAGATATTAATCCTGGAACATATTCCAGCACTCATTATTTTTTCTATCACTATAATATGATTTATGAGATTTAGTATTATTTATAATAAAAACAAAATAGAATACAGAATTCCTATTATTATAAACTTTCAACCTGAGAACTTCCTGATGATTTACAGTTTTACCTTCTCTTTTTATAGCCAGTTCTGATATGAACAGAAAAACCAAGAACAGGGCTATGTGTGGATTACAGTTTTCTCTGCCTTGCCTACGACTGTTTCTACTTGTTACCTGTTATCTTGTATTACTATTCCATAAAGAGATACTTGGATGTTCGTCTGTGTGCCAGCTCTGCACTGGGAGACAAATTAACTGCCGTAATTTAGGCCTTTCAAGTATTCCCAAGAATTTTCCTGAAAGTACAGTTTTTCTCTATCTGACTGGAAATAATATATCACATATAAGTGAAAGTGAATTTAAAGGACTTTATTCTCTTGTAGCACTGTATTTGGATAATTCTAGAATTGTGTATGTATACCCAAAAGCCTTTGTTGAATTGAAGCATCTGTATTTCCTATATCTAAATGATAATTTTATAAAACGCTTGGATCCTGGAATGTTTGAGGGCCTTTCAAATCTTCGTAATTTATATTTACAGTCTAATCAACTATCTTTTGTTCCAAGAGGAGTATTTAATGATCTAGTTTCAGTTCAGTACTTAAATCTACAAAGGAATCGCCTCACTGTCCTTGGGAGTGGTACCTTTGTTGGTATGATTGCTCTTCGAATACTTGATTTATCAAACAATAAAATTTTGAGGATATCAGACTCAGGCTTTCAACATCTTGAAAACCTTGATTGTTTGTATCTAGAAGGTAATAACTTAACAAAAGTACCATCTAATGCTTTTGGAGTACTTAGGAGTCTTAAAAGACTTTCTTTGTCTCATAACCATATTGAAGCAATACAGCCATTTGCATTTAAAGGACTTGTCAACCTGGAGTATCTCCTCCTGAAAAATGGAAGAATTAAAAATGTTACTAGGGATGGATTTAGTGGAGTTAATAATCTTAAACATTTAATCTTAAGTCATAATGATTTAGAAAATTTAAATTCTGACACATTTAGTTTGTTAAAGAACTTAATATACCTTCAGCTAGATAGAAACAGAATAATCAGCATTGATAATGATACATTTGAAAACATGGGAGCGTCTTTGAAGATCCTTAACTTGTCATTTAATAATCTTACAGACTTACACCCAAACGTCCTTATGCCATTGTCTTCATTGACGCATCTTCAGGCAAATTCTAATCCTTGGGAATGTAACTGCAAACTGCTGAGCCTTCGTGACTGGCTAGTGTCTTCAGCCATTACTCTAAACATCTATTGTCAGAATCCCCCATCTATGCGTGGCAGACCATTGCATTATATTAAGTGGACTGACTTTACAAATTGTGCTGCATCTTCGACAAATGTATCCAGAACTTGGGCTGTAAAATCTCTTCATATTCATCACAAGACCACTGCATTAATGATGGCCTGGCATAAAGTAACCACAAATGAGAAACATTTGGAAAATACTGAGACTGAAAGCGTTACTTTTGGGGAACAAATTCATACTTCACCTGCCAGTAGATTGTTTCAAGAGAATACCTTTGGTAACCTGTTAGAAACTACTGCAGTAACACCCGTGCAAATAGAGCTTACTTCTTCTGTTAACTTGAACTTGGAAAAAAATAGTGCTCTACCAAGTGATGCTGCATCAGTGTCAGGAAAAACGTCTCTAATTTGTGCGCAAGAAGTTGAAAAGTTGAATGAGGCTTTCGACATTTTGCTAGCCTTTTTCATCTTAGCTTGTGTTTTGATCATTTTTCTGATCTACAAGATTGTTCAGTTTAAGCAGAAATTAAAGGCACCAGGAAACTCAGGGGAAAATAGACTTGAATACTACAGCTTTTATCAGTCAGCGAGGTATAATGTAACAGCCTCAATTTGTAACACTTCCCCAAATTCTTTAGAAAGCCCTGGTTTGGAGCAAACTCGACTTCATAAACAAATTGTTCCAGAAGGTGAGGCACAGGTCATTATCTTTGAACATTCTGCTTTATAATTCAATTCAACTAAATATTGGCTATAAGAAAACTTCAGTGCAATGGACATAAAATGGGAGCCTCCTTATAGAACTAAACACTTTATTTGTAAATATAGTGAATTATATGATCTTATCATTATTAAAATATATGTTTTTAATAATTTGTGAATAGTGTACTCATTTAGCAGATATTTTCTTTGGCAGGTATTGCATTAAGTAATAATAATAGCTAACATTTCTGTGTAGCAAGCACTATACTAAACACTTCAGGTATCACATTTAATCCTTTAACAATCTTGTAAGGTAGTACTATCTACATTTTATAGGTAAGAAAATCTAGGCAGAGAGAGTTTAAGTAACTATCTGAAATTCTCACACATGTGACACTTTTAAGTCTTGTCTGACTCCACATGCCATGCTCTACTGCTGCTTAGGTGTTGTGATTATAATTGTAACAACATAGACATTGTTCTTATCCTCAATAGAGCTTGATTACTATACAGTATGGTAAGTGCTATACTGGGAGGTGCTATTGGCTATAAGATATGTAGAAATCAGAGATGGCTTTATGAGAAAAGTGATACTGAAACTGGATCATAAAAGGTAAAAGAAATTAGTCCATTGAAGAAAGCTTGAGTAATAGGTAGAGGTGACACCACGTTAGAAGGGTCAAAGAAAGAAACCTGCTTTTCAGGAATTAAAAGAAGTTCATTACTGCTGGAGTTGTGAGTGGTGTTATGAGATTTGAAGCTGGAGAGAGAGATTAGATGGTGAAAAATACTGTAATTTCATGCTTTATTGGGTAACAGGAAGCTGTCGAAGGAATTTAAACGAAGTGACATGATCAAATTTACCCTTTAGAAAGTTCATTCTTATTCTGGAGGGAGCAACAAGACTGGAGACAAGATAAATTGGATAAGAATCTAAATCATTAGTCCAGTGGAGAAATGCTGGAGGCTTGGGCCAGGGTAGCGGCACAGAGGATGTATGGATTCTAGAGCTACTTTGGAAGTAAAATAAATTGCCTTGATGATTCAATGAGGGTTGGCAAGTGAGGAAAAAGTGAAAGATGTTAAGTTTTTGGCTTAGGCAGCTTTGTGCTACGTTCACCAAATGAGGAATGGGATGTGAGTGGGGACAAAATAATGAGTTCAGTTTTAGATATATTGAATTTGAGATTCATTAGCATCTCTTAAGTGAAAATATCTGACAGGCAAAAGTTCAGGAGAGAGGTCTATACTGGTAAAGGTCAGTAATTCTTAAACTTTCTTTTGCCCAATATACCAGAAATATATGACACACTCTTAACAGTAACAACAACCACTTGAGCAGTGATTTTTGGGAGACAGTAACTGGGGAAGAACTTGTAGTAGAAGATGAAAGAGCCCCCAGGAGGTGTTAATAGCCTTAATTGAGAATCTTATATTAATAAAATTAATATTAATAGATGGGAATTGAAGCTGTGGAAGTGATGTAATGTTTTCCCTATTAGTATAAATTTTTACTTGTGTTGCATTCTTCAGAGTATTTGGCACATAGTAAGTGCCTATGCTCGTTGATCCATTAATACTGACCTGAACCACAGGTATATATTAAAGGTTTTTTCTTAAACATTATTATCTTTCATCTTAGTGTCTGTGCTCCACATTCCTCCAAATTTTTAGTATTAAAAGTTATCATTATTCATATAAAATTAGCTTGAAACAATCTGGGAGTGTTTAAACCAAGTGATAATAATTGAGTTTGTATGATGAAACAGAAAAGCCTATAAGAAGGTGTTATGTTGTCCATTATACCTTAAGACTTGGTTGTCAAGCCCAGAACTACCTAGAAGCCACAGATTGCTGCCCTTTCTCCCCCAGAGTACTTGAGTCAGTAGATGGGATTGGGCCTGAGAGTTGGCAATTCTAACAAGTTTGCTGCTGATGCTGCTGGTCAGGGGATCACACTTGAAAAGCTACTACTTTAAGATATGTGAGAAAAAAAGCTAAAAGGGGCTGAGGAGTGGTTTTGAGACATACCTAGAGATTGCAAAGAGAAATTAAAGCACTCCCTCTAAAAGAGTCTTAAAAGAATGCTCTACCTTTTTCCACCTAGCTTAAAGTTTTACACCTTGCCTGAATCACAATTAGCAGAAAATGTAAGTATCTTTTAAATAAATCTGTTTTAACTTACTCATTTTATTATAGAAGAGGGTGTGATGTATGCTTTACCTCAAAGGACATTTGTAATAATTTGCTTCTTTTCCTTGTTCTGTCACACCCACTACCCATAACTCCAATTAAGTTTTTTCTTTTATTGCTGTAAGTGCAGGTTCTTAGAAAAAATTCAAACAGTATAGAAATATATAAGGTAAAAGGTGAACACCTCTTTATGTCCCCATTCCTCACCAGCTAAACCCCACTTCCTGTTAAATGTTTAGCTGAAATTAGGAAAAGTCCATTTAGCAAAATACTTATTTTGATCTTAAAACAGAATTCCACCCAAATTGAAAGGCAGTTTAGAAATTTAATCAACAGTTTCTTCTGTATTTATATAGAACTTATAATTGATTTAGGCTTAACTAGAAAACGTTAGTCTTATTGATAGCCATTTATATATGGAGCTAAAGGAGCCCTGGTAACACAGTGGTTAAGCGCTTGACTCCTAACCAGGTCAGTGGTTCGAACCTACCAGCTGCTCAGCGGGAGAAAGATGTGGCAGTCGGCTTCCATAAAGACTGCAGCCTTGGAAACCCGATGGGGCAGTTCTACTCTGTCTTGTAGGGTTGCAGTGAGTCAAAACTGAATGACAACGGGTTTGGTTTGGTTTTATATATGGAACTATAGTTGTGTATGGTGATATTCATTAAGTGCTCATTTCAGTTTCTGTCAACAGCTACCCTTTTTCAAAATGCTAGCCAGCTCACACTTCAGTTTTATTTGATATTTGCATAGTTTAAAAACTTATTTAAAATAAAATCTATTTGAAGTAATGTATACATAGTAATTTTCTGCTATATTTTCTGTATTTCATTATTTCACATTTTGGACAATTCTACCTTGAATAGAACAGCTAAGTTAAAACCAAGTAATATTCTGAATTAATATAGCTAAAGCAGCTTACTCTTCTCAAGAGTTTTATATTTCCCTAGCATTTACTAAAGGTTCTTCGTTAGCACACTCAAGAATAGACAGGCTCCAACTTAAATAATTGTGTTTCAGAAGGATGTTTTAGATCCAGGATCTGTTTTTCCATTGAATATTATCAACAGTGGTTAAGGTTCCAGACCATACCAAAAAAGTCATAACAAATGAGAAATGTAAAACTCAATTATTTATTTATAACAAATTTAAAAATATATAACTTTTAAATATATTTAAAATTCCAATGTTGAATTTCAGAAACATGTCTCTCTGGAATAACTTCTTAACAATGGAGTAGAGAAGTTTGATGTAAAGATATTGGTGAGGGCTTCAATGGTATGGGACAGAGACTTCAACAGGAGTGACCTAGAACTAGAAGAAGGCCACAGGTGGGAGAGTTGGGGACTGTGGTGTCTCATGGTCTTCTGGCAGTGAGGGATTGCCAGTGTTTTGATACCTGGAAGCTAAGTGGTGGGGAGAGGTAAGGGTAGTCATTGTGGGGAGGGTATTATAGAACTTACAACTAGTGGGGAAAGAGGACCTGCGAATAGTTTGTTTTCTTTCAGCTTTTTTTTAACTGTTAGTAGAATCGTGGACTTTCTTATACATAAAGTTTGTTGATCTACTCTGCCTTATGGCCACCTTTGTCTCTGAGTCAGCAGCAGTTAGACAGATTTTATTCTTTCTCTCCTATTGCCCTGTGTATTTTATTTTTAGGGAACCCCCAAGTGATAATAGAATTTAATTAGACCCCACCTACACCAGTATTAATACATGACAGATATTTACCCTTAGACTGCAAACATAACATTTTTAAAACTTCTGTTGATGTATAAACCACATAGAGAGGTGGACACACCTGTGTAATCACCACTCAGATCAAGAAATAGAACTTTCAAACATAACATACACGTGGGCATTTCTTGAGTTTATGGATTATATAAATACCTAACGGATTAAGCATTGAGATGAAAGTGCAAGTAATTAGGGCATTTTTACTCAATTGTCTTATGTACACTACAACAGTAACAGTAAAATCTGCCATGTTTGTTTTTATGAGGTGCAAAAATGGGAGAAGAAAGTCTAGGGAATCTTTTGCAAGATCTGAAAGATACCTTTAATGCTAGGCCTCTCTGCAAGTTTCTCCCAAATGCACTTCCTTATGTTCTCTTTGGACCACTTGTTCTTTTTTGTTATAAGGATCCAGTTCTTTTACATGTCTTTTATGTCTGATCTCAGGCTAGAAGAATGTATATATGAACTTGTAATATGATGGTCTCCTTTTTTCTTCCTTTTAATTGTGTTTTAGGTGAAAGTTTACAATGCAAATTAGTTTCTCATTCAAAAATTTATACACAAGTTGTTTTGTGACATTGGTTGCAATCCCTGCATTGTGTCAGCACTCTCCCCCTATCCCTTTACACCCCAGGTTCTCTGTGTCCATTTTTCCAGGTTTCCTGTCACTTCTTGCCTTCTCATCTTTGCTTTTGGGCAGGTGTTGCCCGTTAGGTCTCCTATACTCAATTGAACTGTAAAGCACATTCCTCATTTGTGTTTATTGTTTGTTTTATTAGGCCTGTCTAATCTTTGGCTGAAAGGTGGGAGTGGCTTCAGTTCTGAGTTAGCAGGGTGTCCAGGGGCCCCTCCAGTCTCTGTCAGACCCATAAGTCTGGCCTTTTTTTGTGAAGTTAAATTTTGTTCTACGTTTTTCTCCCACTCTGTCTGGAACTCTCTGTTGTGATCCCTGTCAGAGCAGTCTGTAGTGGTAGCGGAGCACCATCTATTTCTTCTGGACTCAGGCTGGTGGAGGCTGTGGCTTATGTGGTGCATTAGTCCTTTGGACTGATATTTTCCTTGCATCTTTGGTTTTCTTCATTTTCCTTTGCTCTGAACGTGATGGAACCAATAGACGTATTTTAGATGGCTGCTCGTAAGCTTTTAAGACCCCAGGCGCTACTTACCAAAGTAGGAGGTAGAACATTTTCTTCATGAACTATGATATTCTCCTTTTGACTAAGAGGAAGAATTGGTTTTGTGG